TTTTTTTGTCTTAGATGTTCACACTTTTTTTGCCCTCCTCAAAAGGACGAAAACACGTGTCCTACAAGCGCTTTGAGATCACGCCGCCACCGTGAAAACGTACGCCATCTATCGGATTTATCTACGCAGCGTGATTGCAGTCGATATTGTCAATAACTTCTTTATAGTCTATCAGTGTTATAAAATTTTTGCTCTTTTTTTCTGTTTAAAAAGATAAATAAACGTACACGCAGCGTACATCTATAATATTTAGTATACTAAATTTAATAACGCTTATGACTGCGATATTTAACGTATTAACTTATATCATAAAAAAGCAAATTTTTATTTCATAAGCGTGAGAAAAATATTACTGTTTTAATATAGTTATAAGACATTTTATTTTTATTGATAATTTATATTTGATTTTATTAATTAAATTATTTTAGAATAATATTCAAGAATATTCAATAACTTTTTAAATAAAATTTTTTAGCAGCGTAATATTCAAGGAAAATATTCAAGTTATCTCGCACGATAGTATCGAGAATAAATGAAGAACCTTTCGATAAATCGATTTATCTTACCTCGCGGCATCATACTCTGCAGTAAAGAGCTGTCATCGATTAAATGGACGGGAAAACAAGTTCGAATAGCTCCACAGCTTATCGCCGTGCCAAGTAAGTTTAATAATGATCAAACAAAATCTGACATTACATTAATATTTCTGCTATAATTTTAATATATAATGAAGATTACTTCGTGTTATAATGCTCAATTTTCAATGTTTTGAGGTTAGTTTCCTAACCTGATTATACATATTTAGTGACAATATTTAATATATATGTATATATAATTAAAATACACATTCATTACATTTTAAAATTTTAATCTTTTAATATAAACAGCATGTTATGATAACAAGAGAGTGAATGAATAATGTTAATTATCAAGTATCTTAATATCTATTTGAATAAACTATGTATATGTTTATAATTTTATTTGTACAGCTTAAAAATTGCACCTGGCGCGGTAGTATGTGAAGAAAGTATTCTAAAAGGAGATATTTCTATTGGTGCAAAAACTATAATCCATCCTAGAGCATGTATTCTAGCAGAGGCTGGTCCAATTATTATAGGAGAAGGCAATATAATTGAAGAAATGGCAACCATAACTAACAGGCAAGTTTAATATATTTGCATTGTTTGCAAAAAATAATAAATACTAGTTAACATTATTATATTTTGACACTGCTGTATAGGTTACCACCCAATGTTCCAGAACCTACAACAGTACCAGTGCAAATAATAGGAAATTATAATGTATTCGAGACTGATTGTACCTGTGAGTCATATAAAGTTGGCGATAATAACATCTTAGAAGCAAAAGGTACAGTAGCTGTAACATTTGGTCTCTACTTTATGCAATTGCATGTTGGGATTATAATCTTAATTGCACAAGTATTTATTTTATATTCGGTTAGAAAATAAAAACCTTTAAATGTGATATTAAATATGATATTAATATTGTATAAATTTCTTTATAATTAATTTGTTATATGTAAATATTATTTTTCCAAAAGCACATGTTGGTCGAGAAATTGAGTTAACTAATGGATGCGTTATTGGCGCTGGCTGTTCTTTGACAGAACAAGAAACAGTACCGGAAAATACAATAGTATATGGGAGCCAATGTCATCGTAGAGAAATGAATGACAAGCCATATGTAATTATTATATATATTATAATTTTATTTCATTATTTTGTAATGTTAAATATGGATTTTTTATTTATCTTTCTCATTACATTTCAGCCACAGATTGGACAACTGGATTTTTTGCTGAAAGTACTTCCAAACTACCATCACTTTCGCAAATCGAATGTAAATCCAAAATCTGGAGGACCTATATAAATAATATATAATATATATATACCTGCTAGAGTAATAAAAATGATAATGTGTTTAACTTTTGCACTAATTAGTATTTGTATTGAACGAATTTTATGTTCACAATTATTCCAGCAATCAGATATATATATTTATTTATAAATGTTACATATAGAAATTTTTGTATTCTTTATTATTGTATATAAAATAAAAATATTTTAACGAATTTTTGAGGAAAGCATTAAATATAATGGATACATATTGTATAATCAATTTTAAAATTTGCCATCTATACAGATTGACAAATTCAAATGATTCAAAGATAAAAAAGATTAATTGATTGAAAATATTCCTATTTTATTTATTTATTATCTTATTAAAAATCAGTAATTAATTTAATAAACTTATTATATTCTTGCAAGAATGATTCATTCATATAATCTAATATAAAATTGCTTCTCAAAATTAACAAATATTAATATAACAAATATTCTAATAAAAATCAAAAATCTTTTTAAGTTAATTGTTTCAAAAGTTCATATAATGTTAATCTTGTCGAACTTTTTTCTTCATATTTTTATATATATAAAATTAACACGCTTGAATAAAATCGACTTATTAAAAAAAATGGAATCCTTGTCACTTTTTCAACGAGCGGAAATGCGAATAGAAATATTAGCCACTCTGTCTCTTAACCAACTCTCCGGGGAATTTAACGGCGTAATGCTAAACGCTACATCTATGAATATGAATTAGCGTCTCGTCGAGGGGGTTGGTTGCGAACCATTTACCGCTTCTGTCAGCTTAGCGAAGCGCGCCAGTGATTATCAACCCTCCTTCATATTGGAGTTTATACAAGAAAATAACACATTTTGTATCGGAATTTGAAAAGCTACAAACAAGTAATCAATTTAAAATATTATATTTTTATAAATAGTCTATTAGCTTGAAATACATTAAATAGAAGTCTTTGCACGATTTCTCAAGTTTTTTTTTGGACAGTTTTTACAAATATATTATTCTCAAGATTTGAAAGAAAAATCTCAAAATTTATATAAAATGCTATTTCATGAAAGTCATTATATGAAAGTTTATTTTAAAAAGATTAGCTGTCTTTATAATATTAAATAAATATAATAATAAAGATTTTTCTAAAAGTAACTGTATATTAATTTAATTAAAAATAAATTGGTCAAACATCAACTTAAGTGTTTCTACGTAATAAAAGAGTCACAAGCGCACCCTTACTTTAATGATCGGCCGCGGCAACCCCCCCGTGACGTAACTCTTGTCGCGAAAGTGGTGACTCGAGAGAGCTGTCATATTTTGACATCCGCAGCGGACGTCAGAGAAAAGAGAGAAAGGGTGCGAGAAAAAGACATGAAAGGAATGAGAAGAAAAAGATTATTTTTCCAAGGGGGTTGAATCCACAGTCGCAGAAAATCACGAAAGAGAAACTAACAGGGAGAGAGAGCTTCTAACGCTTTTCTGATGAAATTACATAATTTCTTCTTGTCGCTTCACTTCTAACTAAGAGCATATCTTTTCATGATTAATTTATTTAATTTAATAATTCAACAAAAAAAAGAATTTAAATCAATAAATAGAAATATTTGTATATAATTTTTATAATTTTGGAAAATATAGCAAAGTTTTAATGCAAGAGTGAAACTCAATATATATATATATTCTTAGTCGGTGATGTTTCTTATTTAAACGAATTATCCTAAGCAAACATTTATTTTTTATAGAATTAGTTAGTTTTTTATTTTAATTTAGTTGTAATCAATAAAATTAAATGAGAAAACTCTAAATAGTTAAAAATTTTAATAATTAAATAAATATATAAACTCAATATATATTCTTTTAATATGAAACTCAATATTCTTTTAATAATTAAATAAATACAGAAAATAGTAATTATAAAATCTGTATTAGAGAAACAGGCAAAGTATATTTGTGCTCCAGTTATATAAAAACTTAGTACGCGTATTAAAAAATTAAATATAAATTACGTAAAGCGAATATGAAATAGTGGCGTGGAAGTGAACACACGTCAAAATGTACTCGGGAGATAGCCCGTGTATGTCGCTTTTAACTCGGAGAGATTTGGCGGGGCCGAGGTTTGAGCACCGAATTAGGCGTGCCGTCAAAAGTCGCTCGAGCGATTGTCATGATCGCGAGCGGTGCGTGCAAACGATAATAATCGACGGACAGCCCCTGGGGTGTGTTTTGATTTCGAGCACCACGGTCATCGGCTGCTGCTATCACACACGCGCATAGAGTATCTGCGCAACTAGACGGGGTAACAACTAGACAGAGAGAGAGAGACGCTATTCGATTGAGTGCGGGAAGAAAAAGAAGGCGCGATCAACCCCCTCGACCTCCTCGACGTTCCAGTCGCGCAAATTGACGTCCGCAGACATGAAACCCCGCTCATCCAATGCCAAACGAGAGTGACGAGCGTTGCGAATCCACGACTCGCTTAACATTTCCATTGTGAGCGCCGTCCCCGGGGTTCGAGTGGCGGAAAGAACGGGGAGGATGTTTTGGGGTAGAGAAACGCGTCGGGCGCAAAAGCCTCGGTGCCGTCGAGGATTATAATAATTGCGAATTAATGTCGATAATCGGTCGACGAAGTCGTTAACCAATTGACATCGCGTTAAGCACGAAGTTCTTAATCTATTATTGTTATACGAGATATACGCGTGCAATGAAGAAACAAAATTTTAAATTTTAATTAATTATTAATTTATATAATTTAGCAAATTATTTTGAAATTAATGTCGCGGATAATTAATGAATAATAATATTAATATTAATTTTGTGGAAGTATATCTTTGGACGTGTGTATTTATACGATATCAGTCAATAATAGCAATAATATAATTTTATAATTATGTATTTATATACATAATAATATAAAAATTCACTTATCGCGATTAAATAAATTAAAAGACAAGCGTGATCCATTTCAATCAACTTGTAATCTGCCTTTCTCGAGAAAAGCAAAGAAAAGGGAGATGATGTGTAACCGAGGAATATGCAGCCTCCATCGGCGCCGACAAAATTTTTTTTAAAGAATATATATAAGTAACAATGGTAGCAGAAATTTGTTAAATATAAATATATTCCTGCTTTAATATCTTTATTTAAAAAATCGTTTCAATTTTTTAAATAAAAAGAGAGAACACTTTATTATTAAATGTGTCATAATTTAATATTTTTTGTACAAACATCGTACATTCCCTGTCGATAATTAAGATTCTCTGATTTCATTAGATTAGTGAAGGTATATCGCACACAATTTTTTTTTCCTTTTCCGAATATTTTTTTTATGATTAAGAAGGTGCAAACGCGGTTTATCACATCTCTCTCGCTGCGCCTATGACAATTTCGATACAAAGATGAACGATCGGATCGCGACAATGAATAATACTCGGCGGACGACGGTTAAACGCAGAAGCGGATCGGATCGGGCCCGCCTACGAAGAGATGGAGGAGGCCCCGGACGCGCGGGCAAACCACCCGTAAAATCTGAAAGGGAACCACGGCGGCGCGGGGCGGCGCGGGAGCAGGGGGCCGCCCGGGTGACTCTGTGACGCGATTATGCTAACGAAGTTGTTCCATTGTAGTGCTGTTTACAGCGACGCGCGCATTAAGGCTACGGAACAATGGGGTGGCCGCGATGGAGAATCCTCGGAAATCGGGACGCGCCAGGACGAGAGTTAACTCGCTAACGAACGAGTTGGCTTCATCTCGATTATCGTTCTGTGCGGGAGGATATAGGTACGTTTGCCCTCCTTAGATCCACTTAAGCTGTGTTAAGAAAAGTCAATTGCACAATTTCTTAAAATTGTTTAATTTATTCAGTTCCGCGGCCGTGTCTGTTTTCTACGTTCAAAAAATATTGTTCTTTTCTTCTTGTGTTTTATAATTTTAATTTGAAATTTACACGTTGTATCGAATTATCTGTACATTATTTGATAATGTGCTAATATTATAACAATTCCTTCAAACATCACACTTTGTTTTTGTTGATCCAAATCAAAATTATTGTCTGCTTTTTTGTTCTTTCTTTATATATTTAATTAAAACATGGTAACAATACGCTTTTAAATTTTCAAGAAGTTAATTAAAAAAGAAATTAAAAATAATAAATATCATATCTAAAAAAATCTGAAAAATGAAATTAATTATAAAATTCAATGTAATGTTGATATTTTTTTGCATTCTGAGATGTTTTCAACGTATGTGCGCGTTCCTACACGAATTCGCAAGATAAGAGAGTTTTAACGGCATCAAAATTCTCGGCGGGATACGCAGATAGAGGTCCAGGAAATCGTCGAAATTCTACGTGGTATGAGAGAAGCCCTCGACTTCTCACAGCGTCTGGTTATCCCCTACCGAGGCGCCACTTGACTCGTATTTAACTTTCAAATATATTTTATGCCTTTTGCATTTCAATACTCTCGTGTATTCTCCGCGGAATCCATCGTCCCACCTCTCCTTCCTACCTCGGTCTTTCGCTTAGATTCGATTGCTCATACATTTATACGTTTTACGTGTATGCACGTTATAGCGAATACATGTATAATGGAAATATCGAACAACCTTAATACAAACATTATATCTGTATTAATGTTATTTATTTGGAATTTGGAAATATTTACTAAATTTGAAATAAATACATAAAAGAAAAAAAAAGATCCAAAAATTTAATTTGGAGTGAAATTTATTTATTTTAGTAGATTCTAATTAAAAATCGCGTTAATAAATAATTAAAATTATGAAAAATTTAATCTTAAATAGTATAATGTTATTAACAACAAAATTATGATTATTTTTGTTTTGTAATGGAATAACAAATTAATTGGCACATTTGTTATTACATTTATATGTATATATAAAAATTATCATGAATTAATAATAATTAAATCATTAACGCATAATTTTAATGAGTTAATTATATATAAATTATATATTTGAAAAAATATTTGGAGTATATAATGAAATCTTTTGATAGAAACAAACACATTGTTAGAGACACAAGTAACAAAAAAATGACTGTAAATGGGTAAATAGGTTTTTCAGCGAGCAGCGAGAAAAATCGTCACTAGGACGACAATAGTCGTCGCGACAACTCGACACGCGAGTAATTCATAC